TGTGTGTGTGTGTGTGTGTGTGTGTCTCAGGTGGTGAGCCCCCGGCCTCTGCAGGGCATCCCAAGACAAAGCAAAGCTTGGAATATGCTAAGTGGGTCAAGGTGTGATTGTAAAACAGGCCTTTGCTAAAATGTAAATAGGCTGTCTGGTCTCAAAGAGATGCAGACATCTAGTCTCTACACAGAAGTTACAGCATTCAAAGTGGGCAGATTCTACTTGATTCTCATCAATACAATTGAAAGATGTATAAGCAAGGAATATAAATGTATTAAGAATAGCCAAAGCTCAGTAGTTCTGGACAATCATAAATACAGCTGTAATATGCATAAACAAGATAAAGGTATGAAAGGTAACTAAAGGGAACTAAAGGTGTTAGAAGTAACTAAAGCTGATAAAGTAACTAGAGTCTATAAGACTCAATTCTTACATTACAAAACTATATACATTTCATAAACACATTAACCATCAGGCAGCATATATGCACAGATTTACCAGCATTAAGCCACAGCTTACTTTCACACATATACACACACACACACACATCTCTCTCTTCACAGCCAGGCTTCACAACCAGTGACACAACATCAATCAATATGCATACATATGTTCAAACACACATTTAAGTCTGGACTTCTATTTACTTACTCACAAATCCATAAATACCTTATATAACTTACTGTACATTACAATTGTACATATCTATCGGTAAATTAGTACTGACTGAACATACTGTAGACACTGCGCACTCTGCACTGCTGCTATTGCACTTCTGGTTAGATGCTAAATTGTATTTCATTGCCTTGTACTTGTACATGGGTAATGGAAATAAAGTTCAATCTAATCTAAACTAATATGTGTATGCATATTTATAAATAGAGTGCTTCTGTCTTTAAAATGCACATACAATGTTGTCTTGGTGACTTACAAGCACATTGAGAACCTCTGTACCAGAGTCAGATTCCTTGTTTAATCATACTTGGCCCATGAACATGATTCTGCTTCTGATTCTGATGGACTGAGTCAGGTTCCAGGTTCAACTTAGCCCCCTAGCTCGACATCTGAAGTCGACTGTAAAAAATCTAGGGGTGATGTTTGATGGCGATTTGAGGTTTGACAAGCAAATCAACTCAGTTGTGAAATCTAGCTTCTTCCACCTGTTAAGCAAGGTCAAGTCATTCCTTTCTTTTAATGATTTTGAAATTGCAATTCATGCTTTTATCACTTCTAGACTTGATTATTGCAATACTCTGTACTATGGTGTTAACCAGTCTTCGCTCAGTCGTTTCCAAATGGTTCAAAATGCTGCTGCTCGTCTTTTGACAAGTACTAGGAAATTCAAGCGTATAACCCCGGTACTGGCTTCTCTCCACTGGCTTCCAGTCAATTTTATAATTGATTTAAAGTTACTGATTTTTGTTTTTAAAGCTCTTAATGGTTTGGCTCCATTTTACCTCACTGAATAAGTGCATTGGCACAAACCTGCTAGGTCCCTCAGATCTTCAAGCCAGTTTCTTTTAGAGGTTCCTAAGGCAAGATATAAACGCTGGGGTGAAATTGTGGAATAGTTTACCTTTTAATGTTAGGTTATCTACTGACCTCAGTACTTCTAAATCCTTGCTTAAAACCTATTTATTTGGTTTGGCTTTTAATACACAGTAGGGATGTTAACTCCTTTTAATTTAATTTTAATTTATTGAACGTATGTTATGTGTGTTTGTTATTGTGCTGTTTTATTTTTATTTGCACTGATCTTATTTACTTTATTTTAGTCATTTATCGTGATTTTATTCTGCCATGTAAAGTACTTCGGTCAACTGGATGTTGTTTTAAAGTGCTATATAAATACATTTGATTTGATTTAGAAACTTTTTCAATTAAACCAGAGACCTCAGTGAACCTGCTTCTTACAACAAACTCAGTAACAGTCACTTCTGATGAGAGTTTATGGAGCTGGGTGCTGATGATGAAACAGCTACATCCAGCAGCACCGTTTGTCTCGTTCCATCTGGTGGATCCTGCATGTGTCAGCACTTTGTGGCCACCGTACTCAAGAAAGCCCACAGAAATCAGTGGGGCTGTGCTTTTGTAAAATGAAATGCAACAGAGTGAGTCGGTGAAGGCCTGGACTTCCATCATGTCTCTCTGGGCCCAGTCTGTGTTTGTGGCTGCTCTCAGTGTAACAGCAAAACAGGGTGAGAGTCCGGCAGCTGCTTCAGTTTGGGTTACACTGGGAGAGCTCTCAGTGAAGAACTGTGGCTACATCAGTTGTGAACATGGATGTGTAAGAGCTCAGAGCTGAATGTCAGCTGTCACACTTTATAACCACATTATATTCTTTATTCTCTGCTCAGACGCTGTTTAAGGTGCTGATTGTTTGACATGAGAAATGTGATGTTTGGGTATTTAGTGCACTGCAAGTTTTTTCCATCTGATAAAGTTTTGAACACTTTTTTTCACATTATATAGCTTGCATTTATTATATTAAAATATGCTTGGCACATTAATTACAAATGTATTTATATACATATAGGTTTATGTTTATTAAATACTAAAGCAAGCTTCTTAATTCAGAACTTTTAATCTCCATTAACCATCTGTCTGTTGTATTCAACCTTAAACTCTTCTCCCTCCGTTGCTCTGACTTGTCCTTCTGCAGCTGTGCAGACATGATGAGCAACAACAGCCTGACTCCCTCCTATTTTCAGTTCATTGTGTTTGCAGACTATGGCCCCTCAGATATCTTTTCTTCAGCCTCTCTCTGTTGATCTACATGACTATAATCTCTGCTAATCTTGTCATTGTTCTGTCAGTCTGCCTGGAGAACTCTCTGCATCAGCCCATGTATATTTTCATCTGCTCTCTGTGTTTAAACTCTCTGTACGGCTCGACCAGCTTCTTCCCCAGGTTCCTGATGGACCTTCTGTCCGACACTCATTTCATCTCACGTTCATTCTGTTTTGTTCAGATGTATGTTATTCACACTTACAAAGTATATGAGTTGAATTGTCTCACAATCATGGCCTATGACAGGTTTGCTGCTATTTGCCAGCCCTTACATTATCACAGTAAAATGACATTTAGGACGGTTCTGCTGATTTTGATTATTGCTGTGTTGTACCCTGTATTTATTGTTGCCTACTTTTTATATATGGCCATTACTTTGCCTTTGTGTGGAGATAAACTGCACAGGGTTTACTGCACCAACTGGTCTGTACTTCCACTGTCCTGTGTGGACATAACTGTGATCAGTGTAGCAGGTCAGTTTGCTGCTATTACACTCATCTTTATCCCCCTGTCCTTTATCTTGTACACCTACCTGTGCATTCTTCTTGTCTGTAGGAGAAGTTCATCTGAATTCAGAGGAAAGGCTTTACAGACGTGCCTTCCCCACATAGTGACCTTTGGGAACTATTGCATCTCAGTGTTCTGTGAGATTTCACTGAGTTGGTATAAAATTGATGCAGTAAATTCATTTGTCATTGTTGCTTTATCTCTGGAGGTATTGATCATCCCTCCCATGAGTAACCCTCTAGTTTATGGCCTGAACCTGCCTCAGATCAGAGCAGTAATCTTTTATTTTTTAAGGGTAGAAAAAATGGCTTTATAAGACAGCAACACAGCTCTTCTGATGAGAGTTCATGGAGGCTGGTGGCAAATAAAACAGTTTAAGGAGCAGCTGCATCCATGAACACCAGTTATCATGTGCTGCCATTTGCTGGTTTCTGCAGTTTGTGACTGATGTAGTAAAAAAGAAACCCCTTAAAGATCAGTGTAGTTGTGCTTTCCCTCAGTGCATGACTTAGGTGATGGGTATTTATTTTTATTGTTATGTAACTTTAAGAAATGATTATCCAAAGAAGAAAGATATTATGCATGAGTTTCATATTTTAAATGACCAATTACAAATTTATGTACAAAAGGTAAGTTTGTCTTTCATCTGTCCTAGATGAGAAAATTCCTCTGTGGGGATGACAAATTGATAATAATAAGGATGAACAAAGAGCTGAAAAAGGACAAAGGACAGGTGTTTAATTGTTACGCCGTGTAGCCAGAGGTCAACTAAAATAAAGTTTGAACCCAGATGCACTGACCTCCAGAGTACATGCCCAATGGGCGCTGGTGCTCACAGTTAGCTTTGTTTTTTTACTTTGAAACTGCAGTGAGTAGTCAGAGATCTGTTGTTCACTTTTATGACTCCAGAACTCTTTTGGTCTATGAAATGATGGCGCCTGTTGTCTGAGAGCTGTGAACAACCTTTTAGAGTTTTCAAAATGATTGCTTTTACTTAAAAGGTCTCTGGTCACTACTGGGCCTACTGTTCTCTGTTCGATTAATCATTCCCTGTTATCAGGACTTGTTCCAGCTGATTTTAATGAGTTTTTATAAACGTATTTTAAAGAAACCTCATTTAGATACCTCAGTTCTGTTGAACTTTAGGCTGATCTCTAAATTGCCATTTTGTCTAAAGTCCTGGAAAAGAATGTTTTTATGCAGTTGCAGTCTTTTGTCTTGGACAATGATGTCTTTGAAACATTCCAATCCTAAATCCTGTCACAGCACAGAATCAGCTTTATTAAGAGCCTCTAATGGCCATCTGCTATGGACCCATGGCCGACTGCATCACTGCTGGTTAGTACTAGATTTATCTGCTGCCTTGGATGCTGTGAAAATGACATTTAGGACAATGCTGCTTCTTTTGATTCAGGCTGTGCTGTTCCCTGTGTGGGCTTTTGGCTACTTTTTATATCAGGCCATCACTTTGCCTTTGTGTAGTGACAAACTGCACAGGGTTTACTGCACCAACTGGTCTCTGGTATTCACCTCTCATGTGTAGGCACAGCTGTTAACAGGGAAGCAAGTCAGTTATATCCGAAACATCGACCTTCATGTCCCCGTCCTTTATCTTGTACACATACCTGCACATTCTGCTTGTCTGCAGGAGAAGTTCATCTGAATTCAGAGGAAAGGCTTTACAGGCCTGCCTGCCCCACATCGTGACCTTTGCATCTCAAGGTTCCGTGAGCTTTTAATGGGTTTTTATAAGATTGATGTTGTAGTTGTCACTACTGTTTCATCCGTAGAGTTTCATATCATCACTCTCATCTTTAACCCTCTAGTTTATGGCCTGAATCTGCCTCAGATCAGAGCAGTCATTGCTGGGCAGCAAAACTGGCTGGTTGTACATAAATCAACAGAGCAGAGAGAGAAGTAAATTAAGCCATTGTTTTCTCTTATTCATGTTGTGTGCTTTTAAAATATTGTAAGTCTGTTTTTTTCTGTACAACTATTTTGTTTGTTCATATTTGTTTTAAATAAATCAGAATCCATGTGAAGAAAATGTATGCACCCTTAAAATAAGTCCCATTGCACCACATTTCTTGTTGTTGTTGTAAACTTTAATTTCTCAAACTTACTATACAGTTTTCTTAAGAATGATTGATGACTCTACATTATGCAGTAGTCCTTTTGTCAGCTGCTCATCCATCACTGTCTGGTTTGGCTCAGCAACCAAACAGGACAGGAACAGACTCCAGCAGACAATCAGGACTGCAGAAAGAACCATCAGTGCCAGCCTACCCCCCAAGGAGGACCTGTACACCTCAAACCCAGGAGTTATAAAAAGCTTTATTGAGATAAGATGGAGAGAGATGTGCTAACCCAGCAGGCCACAAGATGGAGTCGACTGGACAACTGGTTGGTATGATGGAGTGAGTGACCTGGGTTGGCAGAGGAGAAAGGACCCACGGAGGATTCTGGGAGATGAGGAGGAGGCAGATGAAGGTGGAGGTGATTTGGGAACCCGAGAGTTGAGAGGTGGAGACCACTCCTGAAATGGCAAAGGATCTTTGGAGGGGTCTGGTCCAGGGGTGTCATAGGAGACGCAGAAGAAGAGCAGGGAGACCCACCAGATACTAGACACTGCAGTCCCTGGCCAGACCAGGATCAGGAGGATCTTAGATTAGAATCAACTTTATTGTCATTACCCATGTACAAGTACAAGGCAACGAAATGCAGTTTAGCATCTAACCAGAAGTGCAATAACAGCACTGCAGAGTGCTCAGTATGTCAGAACTAATTTACCAATAAATATGTACAATTATAGCTACAGTAAGATGTGTAGGGTGATGTACAATGTACAACAGACTGTGGGTTTAAATTACAGTAATAGACAAGGTACATTAAGCATATAAAGCACTAGTGCAATGGGATAAAATTGAATGAAAGTGCAGAATAAGAAGATAAGTTACATGAGTGAACAGTTCAATGGATGTAAAAGTGTATCTGCATATGTACAGTGTCCAAATGAGTACAGAGCAGTATTCTGTGAGTAGAGTATGTGCACATGATCACTTTAGTGTTACAGGTAACAGAAGTGTATTAAGGTGTTATGGTAGCCCCCCTCACCCTCCTGGTGAGGGAGGACTGAGGTTGGACTCAAGTGTGCAGACCCAGGTGCTAGGGGGAAAAACATGATGGTAGCAGGTAACAAAGAGAACACAAAGTATCAAAGGAACATAACATGTGTCGTCTACAAGGGAAGATAATGTATGCGAGTAGTGTAGCGCCTATGTAGCGTGAGAAGAGTCAAGCCAAAACGCACAGTGTCTGTCAGCGTAGCATTCCACCCACACGTACATAATGCGGCACTGTGTTAGTTAGTTATTTAATGTTCCAGCCCCGACGGAGCATCTGCCAGAGGTATAAGTAAGGACCAAGTAATCATAGTCAGACATCAACTGGTTGGTGATACATTCGCTCCGCTCCTGTGGTGTGTAACAACACGAGGATCCTATGGAGAGTTAATAACTGAGAGTGCCATTTCATGACGGCCTATTTAAAATGACAATATCTGACGTCGGGCTGCCATATGGACTTGTCGAAATAACGAGACACGCAGCCCACTTGTATTTCTGTTGAAATAATGCTCTTATATATGCAGGTTTTTATATATGCAGTCATCCAGGTCATAGTAAGCTGAAAACGTAGAAAAAAATCAACTGGACTTGATTTTCAGTCGAAGACGTTTCACTTCTCATCCAAGAGGCTTCATCAGTCAACAGTCCACCTCCACCAGAAGGACAAAGGACATTCTTTTGAGGACAATGAAGTCCAGATCCTCTCCAGAGAACATCACTGGTTTGAGAGAGGAGTCAAGGAAGCAATTTTTGTAAAAATAGAACACCCCTCACTAAATAGAGGTGGTGGACTAAGACACAACTTGTCATCCATCTACATTTTGAGATCTCTGCCCAAACATACCCACCAGGACAATAGGCATCGGCCCACAGGGGAGGATTCAGACAGGTAAAAACTCTCACCGATACTGGGCTATAACGACTCAGTCGATAGGGGACATTGTTGGCCTTCAAAGGACTGAAACACCACCGATGGAGATAAATATCTCCGGCTCAACCCAGTTGGGCAGAACTGATGAAGCCTCTTGGATGAGAGGTGAAACGTCTTCGACCTAAAACCAAGTCCAGTTGATTTTTTTTTCTATGTTTACAGCAAAGTGTTGACTATTATGTAAAATTATGATTATGGTTATTATTAATAGTAGTAATATGTAGGCCTATAGACATACTTTTGTCAAACACAGATGAACTTAATAATGTACAATAATTAAAGTGCTGACAGCCTATTGTGGTATGATTACTGACACACTTACTCATTATTAATGCAGTTGCACCTGCGCTTTCCCTTGTATGACCTGATGTCTCGGTCTACAGCTCGCACCAAATCAGCTACGTGATCATCAGAAGTTACAAACTTTAACTGCTACGACCTACGAACTAAGGTTTGGGTACCTGGATTAACGTTTCTATTCGGCAAATTGCCTTATTTCAACCAAGTGCGCACGCTGAACGTTGTATGACACTACTGGTCTTGTTTTACTGGAAGACCGAAGAAAAGCCGCTATTTTACTTAAGTAAAAGGCTTGTGTTATACTGGACGCACGCCGAATTGATAGACTAAAACAACGATGTCATAAAATGTGTTTGGCCACACTCAACATTCATATCCAAAGTAGTAAACTGGAGGCACGTTATTTACTGGGGTCTGTTATGACTTTACCATCGTGCGTCTATTACCTTCTGTGAAACGACTAGAGACTGCCGTCGTTTCTCCCTGTCACTCAGCGCTGCAACCCGTAGCTTTATTTGCTTTCTCAGCGCTTGTTTTGCAGCTCGCAAAGCGGCCATTCTTCCTTTGCTAACTGTAAATAGGTCAATAGCTGTGTGATACGGGTTTCGGGAAGGGACACGAGGGAGAAAAAAAATTATCTCACTTGTAGTTTGTAACCACTGATCTCGATTAATAACCAGGCATACTCCTTAGCCGTATCACCAAAAATGATAAAAGAAGCAAATAAAATTTCAATTTCATCTGGAGAAATGGACATCATATTTTAGAATGCTTTGCTTAAAGAATATGAAGGAGGAATTAAAGCAATTGACTTGTAGTGTATTCTTGTTTGTTCAAATGTAACAAATTAATCCTGTCTCAGCCAGATTCAGGTCATGTTCATATATCCCCACCAGAGCTCATCCCACAGTATACATTACAACGACAAAGTGGCGTTATCAGTATTTATGATTCTTGAATCTAAGGGCTAAAGTAGCTAACTCCAAGTTTCATAGTTCAAAACTTTAGGGTTATTTGTGTGTTTTTATGTCTGTATTGAAGCAAGAGGCCATTCTGATTTACTAGGGTTGACCTGCATGCTTTCAGCAATCCACAGTGAGCACGTGTTTTTTCAGAGCTGCATACACCAACATCTGGAATAACAATGTAAATTACCAAACCTCAAACAAGGGAACATGTAAAGTTTCAAAACCACAACACACATTTAGATTGTGCCTCTATCTACATACACATTTTAATAGATCTAGGGTGTGGTACAGTGTTTTTTCAAAGAAGAAGGTTTTAATGTATTATTAGTGACCATTGGTACATTATCAGACAGCAAAGAGCCATCATGTGCTCTCTCGCTACACAACAACCCCATGACCCAATGATTTAATTTATTCCATGTTATGCTCAGGGCATCTGTATGTCTGTTTATGTGCTTTGGTCAACTGGATGTTACTTTTAAAGTGCTATATAAATAAATTTGATTTGATTTTCTTGTTTGTTATTAATGTGCTATTTTTCATTTTCTTTTAAACAGGAGATTAGTAGCTTATCCAGCGAACTCTGGGCTCAGCTCAGGTTTTCCAGTACCACGAAGCTGAAGCTAACTCACTTTTTATCACGCTAGATCACCACAGTAACCTGCACAGTTAACCTGGTCTGGAGCAGCTTAACTTCAGAGGATCCAATCAGATCACTCGAAAAAGTGAGCGATTACTCCTACTGGATCATGACAGGGTCAGAGTCTACACTGATGTGATAAGTATTAAATAGATATTTCTGTAGAGCAGTCATATCATTGCACTGTTTCAAACTTTCCAGATTTCTATCAGACTGAGGGAGTCTGCAGCCTTCATGATGATCAGCACTGTATTTTAAATGCAGAAGATTATTTGATTAAAGACTGAATTCCTAACTGTCTATGTTTTTACAGTCTCCATCACTGCAGCTCTGAATAACTTGAGGAGAAAAATAATTCATGCTCTGTTAAATATTTCCCGTGATTATAAATGAACATGTGACCTGAGGTGTAGCTCCTCCCCAGAGAAGAGAGGACTTCTCCACTCTGGCAGCACAAACTGCTGGACTTTTTGTCTTCATAAAACAAAAGATACTCTGTGAATAAAGCCTTTAACATAATACTGAGCTAATGTACGGTATATTCTCAGTCTGTCCTAAATATTTGAAACTGATTTCTAGAGTTTCTTATTCTGTTCTAGTTATGCGACTATTATTTACAGTTCACCCACTGTAACATCATTCTCTGCTCTGTCTATAACCAAGTTCCTTGCAGGTATCATGCTCCATCTCATATTATTCTCAGTGGCCTACTTCATTCACTGCTGCTGTCGCTTCTATTTAACAACTTGGTCTCTTTCGCATGAAGAGCGCTTGTAGCCTGATAAGAAAACTCAGATTTAACAGAGCCAGTTGATAACAGGCTTCGTGGTACCGGTATCTAGGATCACCAATGTTACGCTTAGTGAAGCTCGATCACCCCAAGAGAGCCAGAATAAGATGAACTTGTTTTGTGGTACAGGCTCCTGACCTTGTTGTGTTGCTGCTTCCCATCCATGTGCATCAGTGCCATGTACCAAGCTCTAGTGTGAACACTGCTGAGCTCCTAAACTGTCACACATGCATAGATGTAACTGAAATGTGAGCCATGTGAGCACAAGAATAACAACCAGGTCGTGTGTGCAACGGTCAAATGGCCCAGTTTCCTCCCAAACTGCTGGGTTATGATATGTTCCTTCCAGTTTGGCCTGATCAGAAGCTTTTCCATAAATGTCCACCACATGTGAAACATCCTGGTGTCATCACTGGCCCCGTTACTGTTGTCACTTTCCTCCATGTTTATTGTTACTGGGCTGTGGGGGGCTGACGCCGAATGATGACGACAGGCCATATGTGCAGAGGAGGAGACGTTAAAACAACCACAATATGTTAGAACATGGAAAAAACACCAGATTGGAGCACAATATAAATGGGGCTATTAGATGCAGCTGCCCTCTAAACTATTTTAAACGGTGCTGGAAACAAATTCCTTGTGTGAGTAATATACTTGGCCAAATGTAGGTTTTTATTATTATTTATTAGGTACATACTTCTATGAATTGTCATCAGAAGACATGGTGCTGTCTTGACCTATTCAACACAAAATAACTGTCACAAATAGGTTCACTGAAATCTCTGGTTATCTGGATGCATGTCAAACCAGGAACCTGACTCAATCCATCAAAGTAATACTACATACTATAGAGTCATTAATCCCCCCCTAGTATAACTAGCATAGTAAGTATGAGAACAATAATGATAATTAATGTGGTAAAGGTGGATCTCTTGGAAGACTGAATTCTGCAGATGGATTAAAGCAAATTTGAACAAATGAAATATCTGTACAAACAAAAGTTACAGTATTTTAGAGGCATACCAGGTCAATAAGAGGGAACTACAACTTCATGAATTTCCCTCTGTGCTTTTTGAGTTATATGAATTATATTGGACAAGCAATTTTGCTTAACATTAGAGAACCAAAAATCACTGCTCTGATCTGAGGCAGGTTCAGGCCGTAAACCAAAGGGTTCATGATGGGAGGGATGATCAACACCTCCAGAGATAAAGCAACAATGACAAATGAATTTACCTCATCAACCTTATACAAACTTAATAAAATCTCACAGAACACTGAGATGCAATAGTTTCCAAAGATCACTATGTGGGGCAGGCAGGTCTGTAAACTTCTCCTGCAGACAAGCAGAATGCGCAGGTAGGTGTACAGGACAAAGGACATGGGGATGAAGAATGATGCCACAGCAAGAAACTGACCTGCTACACTGATCACAGTTATGTCCACACAGGACAGTAGAAGTGCAGACCAGGTGGTGCAGTAAATCCTGTGCAGTTTGTTTCCACACAAAGGCAAAATGCTGGCCATATATAAAAAGTAGGTAACAATAAATACAGGGTACAACACAGCAATGATCAAAAGCAGCAGCACTGTCCTAAATGTCATTTTACTGTGATAGTGTAAAGGCTGGCAAATGGCAACAAACCTGTCATAGGCCATGACAGTGAGGACAGATAGCTCATGAATTTTGTAAGTCTGAATAACATACATCTGAACAAAACAAAGTGGATGTGAGATGAAATGAGTGTCGGACAGAAGGTCCATCAGGAACCTGGGGAAGAAGCCGGTCGAGCCGTACAGAGAGTTTAAACACAGAGAGCAGATGAAAATATACATGGGCTGATGCAGAGAGTTCTCCAGGCAGACTGACAAAACAATGACAAGATTAGCAGAGATTATAGTCATGTAGATCAACAGAGAGAGGCTGAAGAAAAGGTATCTGAGGAGCCCATAGTGTGCAAAAACAGTGAACTGAAAATAGGAGGGAGTCAGGCTGTTGTTGCTCTTCATGTCCTGTTGCAGCTGTGCTGCTGTGCAGACAAGTTAGAGCGATGGAAGGAGAAGAGTTAAAGGTTAAATGCAGAGAAAACGACTGGAGATTAAAATGTTAATAATTACATAGCTTTTTCAATATTTACAATATAATCCTCTATGTATATATGTATTTTTGTAATTTCTAAATAATTGACACATTTCATACAATTCATAAAGTTGTGTTAAAAAATACCACATGCACTAAATGCCCAACCAGCATCACATTTCTTATGTCAAACAATCAGCTCCTTAAACAGTGTCTGAGCACAGAGAATAAAGAATGTAATGTGGTTATAAAGTGTGACAGCTGACATTCAGCTCCCACACGTCCATGTTCACAACTGACGGAGCCACAGTTCTTCACTGAGAGCTCTCCTAGTGTAACCCAAACTGAGGCAGCTGCTGGACTCTCATCCTGTTTTGTTGTTACACTGAGAGCAGCCACAAACACAGACTGGGCCCAGAGAGACATGATGGAAGTCCAGGTCTTCACTGACTCACCCTGTTGTCTTTAATGTATTTTCGCTGGTTTTAGTTTTAACAATACATAAGACAAACCAGGCTCAAGGCTATTGGATGCACAGGAAAGCGGTGTATTAACTTTTGGGCCGAGAACTGCTAGTTTGACCAAACATACTGCATGTGTGAGAAATTATTGAAATCTTTAAAAACAATGTTTCTCAAAGAAAGACAGGAAGTGATATGGATCTGTCACCCTCCACGATGCAGAACATCATTCAAGGAATCTGGAGGGATTTCAGTGTGTAAAGGCCAAGGGCTAATCCGAAAATGGATGACCGAGCTCTCTGATCCCTCAGACTGCACTGCATCAAAAATCATCACTCTTCTAGAAGCGATATAACCACATGGGCTCAGGATCACTTTGGCACACCTGTGTCAGTCACAGTCAGGTAGTTGCATCCATAAATGCTGCTTAAAATTATACAGGTCGCAGTCTATCACAGGGCTGACATGTAGACAAAAAAAACCACACACACCCACTCTCACTCCCAACATTGTTGGGCATGTCCATATGCATCTTATCCACGAGTTTGGACAAGCTGCAGCCTATTTCAGGAAAAAATAGCCTTTACTGTGTTATAAATGTGGA